ACCGCGTCTTTACTAACAGAGATCTTCTCTCTCTCTCATCTGTAGCACAGACCAGGATGAGTGTGCCGAGGGAAGGGCAAACTGCCACGCTGCTCATGGCATGTGGACGAACATTGTCGGCGGCTTCAGGTTGCTCCTGTGAGAAGGGATACAGGGGCGACGGTGTCGACTGCTTCGGTGTACACACATAACAGTTAGATGTACACCTGCCGCTGTATACCTTGTCACGTACACACAGCACACCGTTCTACATACAGACACGCCGCGCCGCACACACACACACGCGCGCGCACACACACACACAGCGCGCGACGCACACACACACACACACACACACACACCACACACACATACACACACACACAGCACACACAACAATATATATATACACACACACAAGCACGCACGCCACGCACGCACGCACGCACGCACGCACGCACACAAACGCACGCACGCACGCACACACACGCCAACACACACACACCACACACACACACACACACACAACCCCCCCCCCGCACACACACACACACACACACGACATACACAACCTCCCACGGCACACACACACATACGTATTAATCATTTATATTTATCCTGACCACATATACGTCATATTATTGCAGATATCAATGAGTGTACAGCCAGATTAGACAACTGCCAGAAAACACTGTCTGTAGGAACCTCGTATGTGCGCGTTTCGAATGCGAATGCAAACCCGGATACAAGCAGACAGCTAGCGGATGCGTCGGTAAGGTCGCCCCCGACGAGCAGACGATGCGCCTGATGACGTCGTCATTACGTCATAATCGATGAGCGTCATCATGCTGCGAAAACGCTTTTTGTTTCTTGTTTTATCAACGGTTAGACTCGCCCCCATACATCGTTGTTCTCCTTGTACGCTCAGGCACTAGGTGTGCTTGGTGTCAGTCTAACCGTCAGTCTCCTGCCAATGCGCTACTGTTATCTGCCTCCATATTTTATTTCTAAATATGGTATTATGTGTATGCATATGATATCATTATATTATGTATTATACGTATTATTATGATAGTAAACGGTGTACTTCGACACACAATACCCTGTTTCCTCACTAATTCTCATCTCTCTCTCTCTCTCTCTCTCTCTCTCAGACATTGACGAGTGTCTATCAAACACGGACGACTGTCCACGCTGCTTCTGGCACCGTGTACGAACACCGAGGGCAGCTAGCGTGTGCACGTGCTCACCGGATACACTCGAAACGGAAGGGACACCTGCCAAAGTAAGTGTGCGCCCCCTAGTGTCAGCGATCAATCCACGACACGACACAAACGGAAACATGCAGTATCGGATATGACGCATGAAAAACGTGACGTCACGCGACGACATTCGCGGACGATGAAAAGGCGAGAAGAAGCGAGCGCGAGGCGAACGCAGAGCGGGAAACCTAGGCTAACGTGGTAATCCTTCCTCCCTGCAGATATCAACGAGTGTGAGCTGGGAATACACAATGCGACCGCAATGCCGCCTGTCTGGACGATCCACCAGGCAGCTTTCACTGCGTGTGTAAGCGCGGATGGGAAGGAGTGGGTCGTGTGCACAGGTAAGATGCGAACACACGAAAGAGATTTAGAGCGTGTGAGAGTGTGATGTGAAGAGAGAGAGAGAGAGAGAGAGAGAGAGAGAGAGACGAGACGAGAGAGCAAGAACGAAAGAGAACAAAAAGACTGAGTGAGAAAGAAAGACAGCGAACAGAGAGAGGGCGAGAGGGAGAAAGAGAGAGAGAGGGAGGAGACGAGAGAGAGGAGGGAAGTGGACGAGGGAAGGGCGCGGAAGTGAGAGAGAGAGCGGCGCGCGGAGATGGAGGAAACCTTTGACCACTGACTCTGACCTCAGCGGGTGTCCACCGAATGTCGCATCATCTACGAACTCCGCGTCATCCTCATGCCGTTCTCTTGGCATGCTTGCAGACATCGATGAGTGTGGCGCGAGGCATGTGTTGGCGCCAACGCTGAGAACTGCATGAACTCGAAGGCAGCTTCTTCCTGTAACGGTAGCGTGCTCACCGCTCATATACACACCTCTGAAACTACCTATGTGCCAATTTCATAATTTTGTCAAAAGTGCACACTTATATCCCTACTCTGTACTGCTCCTGTACTTAGTAGTATAGCGGGTACATGTAATATATGTTGATTATTAAATTACGACTATTACACTCCTTATCAGTGCTTTGTGAAGGGCTTCGAACCTTGTTGGACAAATGAAATTAGTTTTAAGATTTAGTAGTTCGTAACATTCTATTTTTTTTCTCGTAGACCGATCTCTATGCGCAATGCGTGTCAGAAATTTGTAACTTTACCATGTTTTCTGCAAACAGTCTAAGAGACAAAGTTAGTGTTAAGACTCATTTGAAACTGATTTTGTTTCTAACAACAGCCCCCAGAATATTGTTCCTAGGGCTAGTTCGATCTCATTTCCGCCAATCAGACACGCCCTGTTACAGCAGGCAGTGCTATTAGACATCGTGTCCTCTTGCGTATCAGCAGGAACTGGGAAGCTGTCTAAACAGTAGGCAGCACTGCATGCAAGGTTGTGAGATATGCTTTAATATATGTGTGTTTACCTGTGTTCTCGTTGCAGCCTCTTTACCGAGACGTCGCCCACAGCGCTAGGGCAGCACGACGCCATTATCGTCACGTGATGGCCCTGTGGAAGGTAAGCTCCTTCCCCTCCTCCTCCGTCCTCCTCTTCCTTCTCCTCCTCCTCCTCCTCCTGCTCCGTCTCTCCACTCCATCTAACACACCGCCATCTTGCGTCCACTGCCAAGATGGCGGAACGCGAGGGAATTTTTTCACAGGTTTTCTTTCAGGTGTCGATAGTGGATTGTTGCTCGATTATGTGTGGGTAAGAAGTTTGGGTGTTCGCAGGAGAATGGTAACAGCACGAAGAAGAAGGGGAGGTAAAGTAGCGCTGATAGATAGCTATAATGGCCGCGCAGCGCTGAGTGCGGGCGAGAAAGGAGAGAAGAAAGGAGGCGAACGAAGAGAACACGGCATACAGCTTCGTGCGAAACGCGAGAATTTTAGACACCAGCACACACAAGACACATCGCTCCGCGTGTGCGTGCATGCCTACATGATCCGATTAAGATGGTAATTACATGGTTAGGTGCATGTTTTTATGTGGGGAAAAACTGCACACGCACGCACATGCGCTCACGCGCGCGTGTAGCATAGCACACACGCTGCTGCAAGGAAATGACACCGGTCACGTGATACAAGATGGATTATGTCGATATAGACGACAGACAGATAGACATACGGACAGACAGACATACACGCAATTTGTTAGGCACAGAGATATGAGAAAATATAGCACGAGAGAGAATCGTGGCTGAACGCGCGAGGCAAGGTAACGTATTCGGACTCAGGGCAGCAATGTTGTTTGTTTTGATTGTATTTGCATTTCGTTATTTTGTGCGGTTAATTTTGCATTACACTAACACGGTTTGCATTGTTTTGCTTTGATTCCTTTAAGCTATTTTGTCGATTCATTTTAGTTACTTTATATTGATGATTTGCTTTGCAATAGTTACAGTTTTTGTTTCATTTTGTAAACGTCTTCTGGCCTGAGCGGTGGATAGAGATTTTAATTTGGCGTTTGTATTAACTTACATTATCTTAATTGAATTATTTACATTATTTCATTTAATAAAGTTTTCATTCGCGTTTATTTTGCTATTTTCTGCTTATATAAATAACGAAATTTACTTTCTACTTTACGCATTAACACGGTATCGCTTTTGGCAGCGGGGCATTTCGGTTTTTCCTTTTTTCCTTATTTTCGCTTTTGATTTGTTTTTTTTCGCCTTAGCTACGGTACCGGACAGAGAGAAACCGACACAACACGCTTGCCGGTAACGGAAGTCGTAGAGAGACCGTCACCTTGACGCACGTCAGCTGTCACCGACAGCACTAACACGTCTAGCCAGTTCACCTCCCACTGACACCGCCACAGAACCCGCTAGCACGAGCCCAGCCACTGATTCCACTCCAGCCCGGCGTCCAGCCAGCGCCCGTGTCCACGCCCACTCGGCCAGAGGTCGATTTGACAAATTGTCACGGTTGGTTAGCGTAACGACAGATGCTGTGACGTCACAGACTCAACAGTGACGAAACTGAAACACCGGAACTGGTGACGTCACAGTCCATCAACTGTAGCTCGGGACACACAAAACCTGTGACATCACAGCCATCAACAGAGCGCTCCGTAACAATGGAAACCTGTGACTCACAACCATTGACAGATGCCTCCAGGAACACAAGAACCTGTGACGTCACAACCATTAACAGATGCTCCAGGAACCACAACAACCTGTGACGTCACAGCCATCACAGAGGCTCCGGCAACAACAGAACCTGTTGACATCACAGCACCCACAGAGGCTCCGGTAAAACAATAGACCTGTGACATCACAGCACCAACAGAGGCTCCAGGAACACAAACAACCTGTGACATCACAGACATTAACAGAATCTCCTGGAGCGCAAAAAACTGGTGACATCCCAGCCATCGACTGAGGCTCCGGTAACAACAGAACCTGTGACATCACAGCCACCACAGAATCTCCCAGAACGCCAAGAAATGTGACATCACAGGCCATCGACTGAGGCTCCAGGAAACACAACAACTGTGACATCACAACCACCGACGAGGCTCCAGTAACAAACAGAACTGTGACATCACAACCATCAACAGAATCTCCCGGAACGCAAGAAACTGTGACATCACAGCCATCGACAGAGGCTCCAGTAACAACAGAACCTGTGACATCACAGTCATCAACAGAATCTCCCGGAACGCAAGAAACTGTGACATCACAGCCATCGACAGAGGCTCCAGTAACCACAGAACCTGTGACATCACAGTCATCAACAGAATCTCCCGCGAACGCAAGAACTGTGACATCACAGCCATCGACTGAGGCTCCAGAAACACACCAACCTGTGACATCACAACCATCACAGAGGCTCCGAAGACAACAGAACCTGTGACATCACACAGACATCAACAGAGGCTCCGAGTAACAACAGAACTGTGACATCACACAGCCACCAACAGAATCTCCAGGAACGCAAGAAAACTGTGACATTCACAGCCATCGACTGAGGCTCCAGAAATAAAGTAACCTGTGACATCACGGCCATCAACTACACCTCCAGTAACAACAGAACCTGTGACATCACAGCCACCAACAGAATCTCCCAGAACGCAAGAAACTGGGACATCACAGCCATCGACTGAGGCTCCAGAAACACAACAACCTGTGACATCACAACCATCAACAGAGGCTCCAGTAACAACAGAATCTGTGACATCACAGCCACCAACAGAATCTCCCGGAACGCAAAAAGCTGTGACGTCACAGCCATTAACTGGTGCTCCAGAAATAACGAAACCTGTGACATCACAGCCATCAACAACATCTCCAGGAACACAAGAACCTGTGACGTCACAACCACCAACAGAGGCCCCGGTAACAACGGAATCTGTGGCATCACAGCCATCGACAGAGGCTCCAGGAACACAAGAACCTGTGACGTCACAACCACCAACAGAGGCCCCGGTAACAACAGAATCTGTGACATCACAGCCATCAACAGAGGCTCCAGGAACACAGGAACCTGTGACACCACAGCCTCCAACAGAGTCGCCAGGAACACAGGAACCAGTGACGTCACAGACGCCGACTGAATCTCAATTTACTACCGTTGGAATAAGCATTGGGCCTCTACCGGGAGCAAATCTAACTGATTTGAAATTAACAAATACGCCAATTCCCACTCAGACAGATATTCTTACTGATGACAACGCGTCAACGCCCAGTCAGTTTACCAACAACCCTTTAGCAGGTAAGTTACATATTCCCACTGGATAAATTCCTGTCCTAAGATTATCCTAATGTTCGCGGTTCCAAATTCCTCTCCATCCTTGCTACAGCATGATTTTTTTTTCGTTTCTGCTTTATACTCTAGCTTTATACACTATCAAATTCTTTGAATATTTATTTGCAACAATTTGCGTCTTTCATTCAATTTCATCACTCGCTTACCACCGATTTATTTACCTCTATTTCTTCATCATTTCTTTGCTCGATTTTACTTTCCATCTTTTTTTTCTAACTAGATGCTACGCGTAGTACTAGTCGAGCTGTAGACGCGTCATACAGCGTTAGAAAGGAAGATATCAGGCTCGAGCACAGTATCGATGAATCATCGATTATATCAACGATCAGTCACAACGCACCCGGCGACAATAACCAATTGGATAACAGTCCACGTGACGTCACGACGACAACGAAGGAAACCGGCGCAGCCATAGGAGAACAGATCGACCCGCCCACCCCGAGCGTGTCCAATCAGCGTGAAGCAGTGGACGCGATTGACAGCAACCAGACATTGCTCGCTGTGTTATCGCGGACGAACGCGAGCGAGATAGCGCGCGCGAGCGCCGCCCTGGCGGGAGGACACCTGTCAATCAATGCGTCGACGACGATTAAGCTGCGTGACGTCATCGTGAGAGGTGTGAACGTCGTCGTGGACGAGCAGCGGGCGGCGAATCTCATCATTAGAGATAGCAAGATCAAATCCACTGACGCTGCTACTGACGCTGTTACTGACGTCGTTACTGACGCTGCTACTGACGCTGTTACTGACGCTGTTACTGACGTCGTTACTGACGCTGCTACTGAAGCTGTTACTGACGCTGTCACTGATGTCGCTACTGTTGCTGTTGCTGACGTTGTTACTGACGCTGTTACTGACGCTGTTACAGCCACTGACGCTGTAACTGCCGCCCCAACTGACGCTGTTACTGACGCTCCTACTGCAGCTGACGCTACTACTGCAACTGACGCTGTTACCGACGCTACAACTGCAATTGACACCCCAACTGATGCTTTTACTGACGCTACTATTACAACTGACGCATCAACTGACGCTATTACTGACGCTAATACTGTAACGGACGCCCCACCTGACGCTACTACTGCAACTGACGCCCCAACTGACGCTGTTACTAACGCTACTACTGCAACTGAAGCCCCAACTGACGCTACTACTGCAACTGACGCTGTTACTGACACTACTACTGCAACTGACGCCCCAACTGACGCTACTACTGCAACTGACGCTCCAGCTAACGCTGTTGCTGACGCTACTACTGTAACTGACGCCCCAACTGACGCTACTACTACAACTGACGCCCCAACTGACGCTACTACTGATGCTGTTACTGACGCTGTTACTGACGTCTTAATTTTGCTAGATACAGATACTGTTACTGACGCTGCAACAGATACTACTACTGTCACTGCTACAGATACTGTCACTGATGCTGTCACTGACGCTGCAACAGATACTGTTACTGACGCTGCAACGGATACTGCTACTGACGCTATCACTGACGCTGCAACAGATACTGTTACTGACGCTGCAACAAGTACTGCTACTGACGCTTGCACACAGGATAGTGTTATGACGCTTGCAACAGATTACTGTTACTGACGCTTGCAACAGATACTGTTACTGACGCTGCAACAGAGTACTGCTACTGACGCTGGTCAACAGATAGCTGTTACTGCGCTGCACAGATACTGCTACTGACGCTGCAACAGCATACTGCCTACTGACGCTGCCAACAGATAGTGTTACTGAGCGACTCAACAGATACTGTTACTTGACGGCCGTGCAACAGATAATACTAAACTGACGCTGCACACAGGTACTCGCCTACTGACGCGCAACTTGATAGTGTTTACTTGACGCTGCAACAGAATTACGTGTTACTGACGCTGCAACAGATACTCCTGTTACTGACGCCTGCAACAGAATACTGGTTACTTGATGCTGCAACCAGATACTGCCTACTGACGCTGCACAGATCTGTACTGATGCTGCCAACAGAATACTGCTACTGCGCTGCAACAGATACTGTCACTGATACTGTCACTGACCGCTGCGCAAGACAGATACTCCTACGACGCTGTCAACAGATACTGCTACTGACGTATCACTGACGCTGCCAACCAGTTACTGTCACTGACGCTTACAGCAGAAACGTGTGTACTTGACGCTGCCAACAGTACTGGTTACTGACTGCGTGCCAACAGAAACTGTTACTGGACGCTGAACAGATACTGCTACTGACGCGTATCACTGCGACGCTGCAACAGATACTGTACTGAGCGCTCTCACTGCGCTGCAACAGATACTGTTATGACGGGCTGCCAACAGATACTGCTACTGACGCTATCACTGACGCTGCAACAGATTGTACGAACGATGTCACCTGACGCTTACAACAGCATACTGTACTGACGCTGCCAACACAGAAACTGTTATACGCTGCAACAGATTACTGTCACTGACGCTGTAACAGTTACTGCCCCTACGTTGCGCGTGCACAGATACTGCCACTGATCGCTGCAACAGTACTGCTACTCGACGCTTCACTGACGCTGCAACAGATAGTGTTACTGACGCTGCACAGAGACTGCTTACTGGACGCTTTGGCAACATGATTGCTGTTACTGACGCCTGCAACAGATTACTGCTTACTCGTACGCTGCAACAGATTATGCTTACTGGACGCTGGCAACAGCATATGCCGCTACTGACGCTGCATCAGATACTGCCACTGACCGCTGCAACAGATACTGCCCTACTGACGCTATCACTGACGCTGCAAATACTGTTTACTGACGCTGCAACAGTACTGTTACTGTACCGCTGCCACAGATACTGTCAACTGACGCTGCAACAGATACTGTCACTGACGCCTGCAACAGATACTGTTACTGACGCTGCCAACATGATACTGTTACTGGACGGCTGCAACAGATACTGCCTACCTGACGCTGCAACAAGATAGCTGCTTACTGACGCCGTGCAACAGATACTGATACTGACGCCTCAACAGATACTGTTACTGACGCCATCAACATTGTACTGTCACTTGCGCCTGCAACACGATATTCTACTGACGCTTTGCAACAGATTACTGCCTACGTCGCTATCACTGACGCTGCCCAACAAGATATTGTCACTGACGGCTGCCAACAGCTACTTCTTCCTGACGCGGGTGCCCAACAGATACCTGGCTACTGACGCTATCACCTGATCGCTGCAACAGAGTTTACTACCAGTTGACGCTGCAACAGATTAGTGTTACTTGACGTATGCAACAGTATACTGTTACTGACGCTTGCAACAGATACTGCCTACTGCCACGCCTGCAACAAGATACTGCTACTGACTCGCTATCACTGACGCTGCAAACAAGATACTGCCTACTTGCACGCTATCACTGACGCTGCAACAGCAATAGTGTTACGCACGCTGCCAACAGATACTGTTATCTGAACTGGTAGCAAGACAGATACTTCTTACTGACGCTGCACGAATCTGAGCTAGCTGACGCTCTTCACTGACCTGCAACAGATACTGTTACTGCCGCCTTACTACGCTGCCAACAGATACTGTTACTGACGTACTCACTGATTCGCTGCAACAGATAACGTACTGACGCTATCACTGACGCTGCACAAGATACTGCTACTGACGCTATCACTGACGCGCACAGATACTGTACTGACGCACTGCTCGCAACAGATACTTTGCATGACGCTGCAACAGATACTGTCACTGACGCGCCCAACTCATGGACCTAATACTGTACTGACGCTGCAACCAGTACTGCTATGGACGCGTGCCAACAGATACTGCTTACTGACGCTATCACTGACGCTGCCAACAGATACAGCTGACTGACGCATATCACTGACGCTGCAAACAGATACTGTACAGAACGATGTCACTGACTGCTTACAACAGATACTGTTACTGACGCTGCAACTAGATACTGCTACTGACGCTGCAACAGATATGCTACTGACGCTCCGCAACAGATACTGTTAACTGCGCTGCGAACAGATACTGTTACTGACGCTGCAAAAGTACTACTACTGACGCTGCAAACAGATCTGCTACTTGGCGCTGCAACAGAGTTCTGTTATGACGCGGTGCAACAGATACTGCTCACTGACGCCTGTAACAGTTACTGCTACTGACGCTGTAACAGATACTGCTACTGACGCTGTAACAGATACTGTTACTGACGCTGCAACAGATACTGCTACTGACGCTGCAACGGATACTCCCACTGACGCTGCAACAGATAGCGTTACTGACGCTGCCACTAGCACCACGCCTGACGCTGCCACTGTCCCGTTACTTGCCGTCGTCACGGACGCGTCCACCGACGCTCGAACCAGCAGCACCGACGACGTCGGCGGCAGTATTGAACCCAGCGACGCGTCAGTAACCCATGCTCCAGACGTCGGCAGCGACGATCCCATGACCACGGCTATGCTCTTTAACTTGATGGCCGGACGCGGCGGTACCGGCCCAACGACGCAAGAACCCGCCCGCTTGGACGAAGGTGATTCTTGCTACGAGAAGGGTTGACACTAAAGGTTTCGTGAGGACTGCATGTTGTCGTCGTCATCGTCGTCGTTAGGGGCGCTGCTGTTGTTGGCGGTCGTCTGCACGTGTGTGTGTCGTCAGCGTCGTGGGGAAGCGAGTGACGTAGCACTACGCTTCCCCCGAATAGAAACTGTGTGCGTGTTTTGCGTCTACTTCTCCGCCGAGCGTTTGTTAGTTGTTTAGAACCCCCGAAAACGGGTTATTTCACTATCTCGACTTCTCTTCTCTCATTTCTGCACAATCTGTTTTTTTATTTGCACTCTCTGCGCCGTCTGCGTCTATCGCATGTTGTGCACACGTCACTCCTTACGTCACACGTTTCCAACGAACTTAGTTACGTCATTCCTTACGTCACACGTCCGCAACAATATTAGAACACGTCATTTTCTACGTCGTACGATCGCGGCTAGATCAAACGTAAGATCGACGTCGCTTCGTGTGAGTTACGGTGGAGGTACGTCATCATTATGTTGTTGATACGTCATGGCATGTCGCTGACGTCACAATCTTGGAACGAGCGATCGGTAGGTATCGGTATAACGTGCGCCACCTCACCACTGAGTGCGTTCCTACCATCCTTGATCCATCATTCATACACACCACGTTCGCACAGCCATTCGTACTGCATTAATCACTGTGCCCATATGCATCATTGTGCGTGCGTGCGTGCGTGCGTGCGTGCGTGCGTGCGTGCGTGCGTGCGTTTGTACGTTCGCACGTACGTACGTGTATCTGTGCCGCCGTAACTGTCGTGTGTTAATCGTTAGGTACTTGTCCGTTGTGTCCGTGTGTGGGTGTGTAATACTGTGTGTCTGTGTCTGCGTGCTGTTGATTGTCGGTTTGCTAACACTGACGCGTTCTCGTGCGTGAGAACCTGTCATAGTTCATATCATAGCTCATGCATCGAGCATCAAGTTTGCTTCATTATATATAGCTATTCTGTATATAGCTTCATATCATAGCATGAAGCATCGAGCATCGAGCGTATACCGCCATGCAGACATAATCTCACTGATAGGGATCGTGATCGTAACGTTAGCATCGCTCATGACGTCATCGCATTTGTCGTGCTCATCGACGCGATTACATGCTACGTCATGATAATGTGGAAGCGCTGAACTTCAATCACGATCATCGTTTGTGCGCGAAGTACGTCACGTTCCCTCCCACCTCATGTCCATCTCTGGCTTGAATTTTCACTCAATACAAATCTTTAAAAAAAAACATCCGATGCTATCTTTCATATATCGCGTTTAAATTAGCGATTTTCCACATCAAACCACGTACGATCGCAAAAAAATGACAGTGACGTCATCACGTCGACGACGCCATCTCGTGTGATGACGTCATCGTAAACAATGACGTCATGACAGACGATGACGTCATCGCGGAAGATGACGTAACGTGCCACGATGACGTACTTCTCGCGCGGACGCCTCGTGCGCTACGCCGCGCATGGCTCGCCATCGTTCGCTCTCACGCTCATCGTTGCTCATACAACAAACACCTCACGCAGGCCTCGTCATCGATAAGACCGATAGCAGTGAGCCGCCACGCACGCGCGATCCGGACAGGGCGACACTGCGGCCGGTTACCGACCGCACGCAAGGTTTGTTCCCGGCGACGCTAGTCATCGGCCGATTACAAAATGTCAATCGATTGCACGCATCGATTTCAGTCATCGATTTCATACGTCAATTTCGTCCGAACAATTTCACGCATCGATTTCATTTATCAATTTCATTCATTGATTTCATATGTTACTTTCGATAGATCAATTTCACGCTTTGATTTCATTGATCGATTTCAGTCATTGATTTCATATGTTAAGTTCGTCTGATCGATTTTGCACATCGATTTCATTTTATCTTCATTCGACATGAATTCAGCTTCATGTGATCCTTTTACTTTTTGCCGTATCGCGTTTTCTTTAGTTTTTGTTTTGGGACGAGTTTCTTTTTTTCGCACCTATTTTAAAATATATTATATTAATTTTAGCAACACATTTCTTTACGTTTTGTGCAATTTTTTTAACGATTTGCTTGCATACTGTTGATCGATGCGACGTTCTTATTATTTTGCCGTCGTCATGTTATAACCGATTATTTCGTCCGCTTCCATTCGAACGTTCACCGAGCATTTATTTCCTGTTCCTGTCATCACGGTCGTGATGACGTCACGACATCGTCATCGTCGTCGCATGATCTCGCTCATTGTCGCCTGGTTTCGCACGAATATTTAGAGACGACAGTAGAGATCACGACGGTCCCGACAACGTCTGAAATCACGACTAGTCCGACGCCGCCGCAGGTGACGGATCCGCAGACGCCCGACCCTACGACCGTCGTTGTCGATGTGACGACGTTCAATATCTCGCGAATCATAGACGGCGGAGGACCCGTCAAAGGTTTGTACTGGGAGGCGGCCATTTTAGTTGCCACAGCCGCCATTTTGTGGTCACGTCCGCCATTTTGTGGACGTGTTTTTCTCGTCCATCACCGCCAGTGTGCGCCTGCGATCGTCACTGTCATTATAGTTCCATTCTCGCTGATCACTCGTTATATAGCGTCGTCGTCAGGGGGCGCCACCTAGCGTGTGACGTCAGCAGAGAATCTGAGCTATACATGATCGAGTGTCTTTTTCTTCAACTTGTTTCTCTTGTCTTGCCTTGGTAACCGCGGTGCGCACGTTTACCTGGATGCATAGGGGCCATGGTAGCGCCATTCTGTTATGCATTGTGTGTTTTCAGATCAGATATCAGTGATTCGGTAAGGGATCTCTGTATTTGTCACTCCTCTGTGTTGTTTAACCCTTTAATCATCTGTGTTGTTTAACCCTTTAATACACTAATGTTTTTCTTAGTATTCTCTGCGTAGTTATAGTTGCATTGACATTGCAGTACCGAGATCCGTCTGATGTCTAGCCCCGCCACCTAGCGGGTTTTGTGCTGCTATTTCTCTGTGAATATAAATAAATAAATGTATATGCTTACATATATGTTTATTTATTTGTTTATTCTTTCCCGTTTGTATAGGTAGTAATGATTTGTTTCAACTTTTGTCGAGACAATATCTATTATAACACTATACTATATGTGTAACACAGTTTAACACATTTACCTTTCCTGTTTCCTCACTCATATTACTACCAACTTGCTATTTTTACGTGAACTTACAACTGAACTGGTCTTAAAGTAACTAATACATTAATACTTAATATATATTGCACCAGCTAGCATATAAATTTGTATGATGTATCATAGTACAAAAAGATATATCACTACTAAAAATATAACTATATAGGGGCCTACTAAATATAATCTCAATCATACAGTTTGTTTATATAACTAATAGCAATTTTCTGCTGGCATGATAAACTAAACACTACATGCAGTCGTCGACTGTATTCTCTCGACGAACATATCTAACGAACAAATCGAACGTAACTCTATTCGATGAATATATCTACGACTACTGGCAATCAATCGTCGTACATACATACGTCTATATGTCTATACGTCATAAATGTTGCTATAATATACGCCTCCTTCGTCGCTCGTTGCAGTGATCTGTAAGCAAGACGGGATCGAGTTTCGGGTCAACCTACGGCAGGCTTCCGGCGGAAGTTCAACGTTCACGGGGGTCATCTACGTGAAGAACAACTTTAAGACGGACGCGTGTCGCATGCGCATGTTCGACAACTCTGCCGACAACATGACGGTCTTCTTCGCTAAGTACTCCGAGTGCGAGTTCACGATCGACGAGGTAAGCGGGCGTCTAGGAGTATTATGGTAGCAATTATAATTGTTATTACTAGTGTTATTATTATTTCTATCATAATAATTATTGTTGTTATTATTATTATTAATATTGGGAGTGTAATATATATATATATATATATATATATTAACAATAGTGAGAATAGAAATTACGATAAAAAAGTATATCAATAAGGCGGCAATTTTGAGGTTCTTGCATCACGCGAAGTCATCCGTGACGTCATCAGAACGTGTACTGACCGCTGTCGTTCGTCTGCTTGTGCAGGATAACGGTCTGTACAGCACGACTGTCGTCATTCAGCCTCACCTGATGCTGGTAACCCGAGATGCGCGCGCATACCGCATGACGTGCAAGTACGATGACGGCCTGACGAAGACTGTCGGACCGACCAACGTGGAGATAGAGTAAGTATCAGTATGTTGTATGATGAAGGGAGGGGGATGTAGAGATAGAGTAAGCATGAGATGCTGTATTGATGAAGGAACGTTGAGATAGAGTATTAGCAGGAGTTGTTTAATGGAGGCAGGGGGATGTATAGATATCATAATAGGTATCAAGCGCCGTATAATAGGGAAACGTAGAGATAGATTAGGTATCAGATGCTGTATAATGTGGAAACGTAGAGATAGATTAGGTATCAGATGTTGTATAATGTGGAAACGTAGGGGTAGATTAGATATCAGGTGTTGTATAATATGGAAACGTAGATGTAGAGTGTGTATCGCTGATTGTACGTGGCTGTGTTGGTTTGTAGTTAATGTTGTGTATCCTGACCTTGGTCCGTTTTCGCCTGGTCGTGAACTTCGGGTGTTTTCGTCGGTATTCGTTTATTGCCGTCGGCAGAGATCGGAATCTCGGGTATAGACAGTCACGTGACGCTATGAACCAATCGGATTCCGATAGGCACTGCTTTGGGGGCAGTGGATGATAATTCGTCAAAAATCGCCAATATTGCCTATCAAGTTTGAAAAAGGTTATTGCATGTGATGTGGTGACGCAATGCACAGATAATATGCGGACGGTTGCTTGGTATAGTTTCTTACAAAATCCAAGATGGCACATCGGTATCTAATGACGTCATTGTCACGTATGCGCCGGTGCTCGGCTGAGCCTCCGTCATTGGTCCCCACCTCAATCCACGTGAGCTTACACCGCCTAACGGTGTACCGGAAATGACGTATTGCAGGACCGGAGACGACCAAGTTCCGGGTCAGGAAGCGAGAATACTCGGAAATACGACAGACTCTCCTGACGGGTAGGCAGGATCGCAGCGACATCTATGTGGGACTCTAATAACTAACGGCTTTGCCTGCTTGGCGCGTCGATTCTCCCCCTGGCGGTCTGAGTCTTTTCAGAGTAGCGGTGAGGAGGAATGTTCCTGGGGATGTGTAGGTGACGTGACTTCCTGTTGGCTGTCCGGACGTGACGTGGAGGGGGCCGTCAGGGGTTCTCGTATCTGTGCATGCTAGTCACGACGACGTCAATTAACACGGAACGAAACATCGAAATTCAAATTCGGAAAGAATATCACGTTTCGTGTTTCTTTCTCCATTTGAATTTAACGATATAAATGTTTGTGTGTCTATATAATATATAGAGATAATTATATTATTATAACTATATATTATAGATAAATAATTGTTATTCGAAGTCTTTCATTGTTTTGACGTGATTTAGATGAATATACCTGGTGATTAGGTAAACAGGTGAATAGGTGCAATACCTAGTTCACACGTTACCTTTGGCTATGACTAATTGCATGATTTTCGTCGGATGTATATCTTCCTCCGGGAAATAAATAAAAAGGGAGAAGTCAGCGACGTCCGAAGCTCTGATCTTAGGCTGGTTTAGGACCCAGATTTTTCCATCTCTTACGTCTTGATGAGCCCGGTGGCGCGGATTTCCCCCGATTTGTATGGCTTCGCGAACCCTACTTAACCCCCGCTATGTCGGCAACGAACTGCTTGTGGTGTGAGGATTGGGCGGTTGCTATCCGTACAGGGTTATCGTTCGCTAGACACTGTCATAATTTCAGTCAGTTCTTCTGTGTTAGTACTCTGCTTGTTCTACGCTAACGCGGACGTTTTTAAGCAGCGCCGAAGTTGCGTTTGCTCTATTTCTTTGCGATGTTGCGTTGCCAGACCGTATATAGCAAACGCGTGAGTGAATCCAGAGCGAGTGGGTGGGGTGCAGGAAGAGGGAACGATGCAGTGCGTGAGGTCAGCAGCAGCAGCAACAACCGCATCTGCTACACGCATCGCTATTAATAAACGCTGCAACGGGGAGGATCGGCGGAAGGGGAGGACGCGCCCCTCTCCTTCTCCTTCCATTGACGATGAACGATGCTTGTGTATCGCCGCGTGGTTTCTAGTGGCAGACACATGTATCATCACGTGACCGGCAGCTGCTTACAGCGTAGTCTGCTAACTAATACAGCATGCTATTGTTATCGCGGCGGTTGTGTTTCTAAGTGCGTCAACTACGTTGCTAAGCTGCAATTTGCGTTGCTATGTTCGTCAACTGCGTTGCTAAGTAACAAGTTGCGTTGCTATACGGCTGCTGAGAAAATTAATCACGTCAACTTTGTTGCTAAGTTGTTGTTTGCGTTGCTAAGCGTTAGCTGCGTTACTAAACTGCAATTTGCGTTGTTAAGCGCGTCGACAGCCTTTCTAAGCTGCAATCCACGCTGCTAAGCGCGTCAACTACGTTGCGAAGTAACAATTTGCGTTGCTAAATAACAATTTGCGTTGCTAAGCGCGTCAACTGTGTTGCTAAGTTGTAATTTACGTTGCTAAGCACGTCGGCTCCGTTAGTAACCTATCGTCTGCGTTGCTAACCTATCATCCGTGTTGCTAACCGCGTCGTCTGCGTTGCGTGTTCGTTGCAGCATGGTGCCGACGTCTGGCATTCTGAACAACACGGGCATCCCTCCCGTGTGCACAATGAGCATTACAGACCTGGTCGGCAACAGAGTGTCTACGACCTTCATAGGACAACCACTACTACTGAAGCTCTTCATCACGCCAGGAGGTGAGTGCAGACGGCCAGCCAGCGTCTTCTTAATTAGAGGCTGAGACAAAGTCTGATGGCTCTTAGCGGCTGGGTTACAGACGGCTCTTAGCGGCTGGGTTAAAGTCAGATGGCTCTTAGCGGCTGGGTTAAAGTCAGATGGCTATTAGCGGCTGGGTTAAAGCCAGATGGCTTCAGTGATGATGGTAAACGAGCTTGTCAAATATTAAAGGAAGTTTAGATGGCTTCTCTAATAAATGTTTAGGACGGTGGTAAAATAGGGTAGAGCCTGATCTAGATCGACTTCGACGTTTGGGCTAATTAACCCATCCGGGTTCAATACAAGTCAGACAGACACACACGCGCTCGCACACACACACACACACACACACACACACACACACACACACACACACACACACACACACACACACACACACACACACACACACACCACACATACACACACACACACACACACACACACACACACACACACACACAACACACGCCACACACACCCCCCCCCCACACACACAACACACACAACACACAACAACACACACACACACCACACACAACACACACCACACACACACACACACACAACGGCCGCTAACCGTATCATTCTGTCACCCTATACAGAGCCTCTATGGCGGCTGTTCGCTAGGAAACTGCTACGCTCAGGACACGCGGACGAGATTTGGAAATACGAGCTGATTGACGAACGCGGGTGAGTAGGTCCCAGCTAACCGCACGCGCCTCCTAACGAGAAGGTTACCTTAACAAACAGCCAGAGAGAAAAATAGATGGGAAAAGGGAGAGCGTAAGGGAAGAGAGAGGGAGGAGAGAGAGACAAACAGCAGACGAACGAAGTGAGAGAGAGAGACGAGAAGAGAAAGAGCAAAGAGAGGAAAGAGAGTGAGAGCGGAGAGCGCGTGAGAGAGAGATGCGCGCGAGTGAGACCGCGGCGCGCAGAAAGAGAGAGTGTGTGAGAGAGAGAGAGAGAGACGCGCGCCCAGAGAGAGCGAGAGAGGCCGCCCGGCGCGCGTCTGAGAGCCCAGTCAACCAGACCTCGGCCCCCACCACCTACCCTAAACCCCAGGTCTATTCATACCACTTCTCCTCCTCTCCACAGCCTGGCGCAACACGGACTCTAAATCTCCTCGGCACCGCAGTTCCCCCATGAGTCCGAGGCCAGGAGATTGGTTCTTTCGCTCGCTTCGCTTGCAGTGCTTCAAGTTCCCCATCTCTC